ACATCGGTAATAAATTTAGTTAATTCAGACTTATTTTTTTCCCTCTCATTGGTATTTAGTTTTAGTCTATAACCTTCCAGGAGGAAAAAAAAAAGTGTTAATTGCTTATATCTATTTAGCTAGTAGTTTTTCACTGACTTTATGAAAAAAAAAAGACTTGATATGTTTAATAATACCTCATTGAAGTAGAAAGCTATATTTTTTTTCAGCCTCATATAAACATCCAGAGGGTTTTCATTGGTAGTTTATATAAGTACCATGAGGGTGGTTTTTCACACCTACACATTTCTGACTTGCATGCTCAAAATACTTCTGAGAAACTTCAAACTATTTAATGTCTGCTAACTAGAAATCCCCAAGTTGGCAATCTTTTCTCCTTGGAAAATAAGTATGTGTTGTTTTCTTGTGATAAGCTTATCACAAAGCTACTTTCAGCCTCTCATGCTAGATGATTATAATCAAAATTCATATTGAAGTGTTCTTACAGATTGATTTAAGTATTTATTTTAAAAATATCCCTAAGGAAAAGGAATATGCAAAATTAAAGGTTGTTCTACATTACAAATACAAGCCTTTTCCTATTTACATGGATGGAATGACTTCCCAAAGAAAGAGGTAGTAAAATTGTCTGGATGTCCAGAGCCATCCGTGGGCTGTATGTGGACCACATCAGCATCACAGCCTAATGAATAGGAACATCTTGTATTTGGGAACTTCCGGTGGTAATTCCACAGTGTAAGACTGCCAAGACGTATTGTTGATTTCTATTCTGCTCTGCCATGTCCCACACAGCACTGAAGATGGGCTGACCTGCTCCAGTCACACAGCCTCTCAGACATAAGTGTGACCTGCCAAGATGCCCATCAACCTGCTGAATAAAAGACATCACAAAGCAAGACTCTACTCTGAAACCTTATCCCTGCCTTTGATGTATCCCCTTAAATAAACCATGGGAGCAATTTTCTAGTTGTATAGCCAGCTCCTTTGTGGACTGGACCTATCAGGGCTTCATCTTTAGAACTATGCTTTCTGACTCTTTGTCTTTTTTCTTTGCTTATTACTCTAGACTTAAATTTCTTAGTTGTCTTATACCCTGCTTGACAGGAAGAAGAATCCCCTCCCCATATCTGGATGCTTCTGATAGGGATAAAACTTAAATTTTTTGATGTCAAATATATAAAGGCAATGTGCAATGAGAAATGAAGCAATTATAGTTTGCTTCTAGACTAGAAAAAGATTTTGGGGGGGATTAGAAATATAGCTAACCAGTAGAAAGTTTGCCTAACATACAAAGGTGCAAAGGACCAGGGCTTAATCCCTACCACAGCAAAGAGGAATAAAAGAGAAAAAAGAAAGAAGAAAACAAAGGAGAAAGAAAAAAAAGAAAAAAAGAATCTTCTAGTCAAACATTTAAAAATTGAAAAAATTTTCAATTTATCCCTTCTTATTCAAAATACTACTTTAATTCTCCTATTTATCTTGTTATCATAAGTAAAAATGCCTTTATATTTGATTATTAGGATATACAAACTATTATTCTATTTGATCATTGCACATTGTCTAGAGATGATCATTTAAACTATGTTGTCTTAATTTTCCCTTCTGCAAAATGAAGAATAATTTCTGTTCTTTTTATGGAAATTTGGAGAATTAACAGGGTAATTACAGATGAACTAGGATGCTGTGCAAAACACTAAATAAACTATCAAAAAATTGTTACGTTTTATTTTGGACTTCCAACATTTATACAAATATAAAGTGGTAAAACCATGTAAAAATGGTTGAAAACTTTAAATTAGAGAAAATACTTGAAAATGTTTTTGCATTAAATCCTTAAAAACCTTGGATCATTTTTATGTAACTTTTGAAAGGAAAACATGCATGCTAGACTCAGATATAAAGAGTAATTCATACCACTACTTTTTGCAAATCAGTCAAAAGGTTTTTAGATAGTTCAGCAAAACATTTTATATTAGCAAAAAATATTTATTGAACATGAACATCATTCTACCAAATAATAAAATTGTTTATTTATTCAATATGTTCATATTCATCTAGCTTATGATAAAATAAATAAAATTTTAAAATATTTAATACCACTGTAGATAAAAAGTGCTGTGCCTAAACATAACAAAGAAGAATAATAAGGACTTTTTAAAAAAATTCGGACCTGTACTGAGACTTTTAAGAAGAGGAAAAATATGAGTAATTGAGGAACAATTATATCAAGTTTAGAAATTGTTCCAATAATTGCATGAAGCCAATGTCTATTTATAAGAAATGAAGTGAGATTGACAAAATTAAGGAAAATCTTGATTATGAAAATATTAATTAATAGGCTAGAGATCTGGAACATTTGTTTATAGGTCCTGGGTAATCACTTAATGATTACAGAGAATGATAATGTGATTGATATAAACACAGTGATATAAATAATGAGGGGACTAAAAATCATAATAAAATAGTGAATACCTTAAATAGGGAACACCTGAATAAATGTGTTATTATCATAATAGGGCAGTAACAGTAAGTTAGCTGAAGGAAAACATGTGATTTTAAAAGGCTTCATTTTAAAAATAGCATCAGAAATATTTTTAAAAAACACTACATTATTGTTATATTAGGATATAGCTGGAATAAATAGTCTATTAAGATGAAGGTAACTTTAGTAGGTTTGGAAACTGGTGTTAGGTCTTACAACTGCTTTGAGACTGCATTATAGGAGAAAAACACTGATAAATGACAAAGGTAGAAGAGAATAGTTAAATCTGTAGTTGGGGAATCCATGGTAGAGCAATGGGTTTCCTTATTGGCAAGTAGAGCTGAAAAAGGAAAATCTTGCAACATGAATATGAACAGATTAATTTAGGTACAAATTAGTAGTAGAGATCTCTGGTATTGAATGTATGACTTCAAGATAATTAAATAGGATCCAAGCCTCTGCAATAGAATGAGTTCTAGAATAATCATGACTGCTTTCCAGTTCTTAAGGCTATAGACTGTTAAGCACATTTCCAAGTTAGAGACCTTGACATGGGGGCAGAGGAAGGGGAGCGTGACATGGACACTTAAGGAGTTTTAAATCATTCCTGCAAAAGTTTAGGTACTGAGACACCAGTGTCTCAGTGATCTCCAGGATCAAGTAGCACTTATTATGGTGAAGACAAAGAGGCAGATAATATGAAGGAGGCAGAAACTGACAAAATGCATTGCACCTCTTGATGTGCATTAATAATATTTTTGTTCCCATTGTAAAGCAAACAGAATGTGGCATGAACTTAATTCTACTTAAGGATTCATTTTTAGGAATACCATGAACAACTTTTTTCTCCACATGTGAGTCTGATGTACTTGATCAATTTGTTAACTATGATATTAACAATTATTTTTGCTTTAAAAGAAAGCTCATGCTTTTAAAGGCTGAATGGTGTTTACACCTCTCTCTCTCTCTCTCCCCCCCATCTCTATACAATTTTATATACATATATAATATAATTTATACACATATATAATTATATACATATAATTATATATATATAATTTTCTTGTTAAAATGAATTAGTTGCTTAATTCAAAAAAGCAAATGCCTATTCAAGACTATATATGGTTTAGTTAGACTTTGGAAATCCTGTTTGAATCAAAAGTTTTTATTGCTGCTTTAAGTGGCAGAGTAATTCTGGGGATAATGTCTATCTTAATAAGCAAAAGAGAAAGAGTCTTTAATAATATGGGTTTGTAATATAAATGAAGAGGCATACATATAGAATTAGAAATCATTCCAATAATTGCATGAAGCCAATATCTCTTTATAAGAAAGAGGGAAATTGATAATATTAAGGGAAATCTTGATTATGAAAATATTAATTAATAGGCTAGAGATTTGGAACATCTGTTTATAGGTCCTGAGTAATCACTTAATGAGTACAAAGAATAGTCACACATATAGAATTACAAACAGTAAGTATTGTAAGAACAGATCTAGATGCCACAATTGGAAATAGATTCTTAAATTTCAGCTGGAACCATGGCTACTATGTGAAGCACTATACTTCCCATCAACTCATAAATTGGAAATGAGATTAAGATCTGGTCAATGGATGGGTGCAGTGGTGGACACCTGTAATCCCAGCTGTTCCGGAAGCTGAGATAGGAAGATATAAATTTCAAAGTTGGCTTCAGCAATGGCAAGTGCTAAGCAACTCAGTGAGACCCTATCTCTAAATAAAATACAAAATAGGGCTGGGGATGTGGCTCAGAGGTTGAGTGCCCCTGAGTTCAATCCCCAGTACCAAAAGGAAAAAAAATGTGGTCAATGGAGGTAGGTGGATATGGCATATCCCACCTCTGGGTCACTTGTAAACTTTCTACACATCTCACAATTTTTAATATACATAAGCTCATAGTGGAACCTGGAATTGTCAACTTGACCCTAGATATGGAGGCCATGTTTTTAAAGTGACAAAGTTGACTTATTATCCCCCAGGCTACTTAGATAAGGACACTAAAGGAAGATAGAAATATATTTCCATGTTGTTTAACCTAAAATATTATAGCCTTAACTTATATCCTAAGGAGTTCTGGTAGATTAAGGTAAAGTAGGTATGTGCATTTGTGTGTGTGTATATATGAGTATGTGAATTGTGTTTTTTAAATACTTATTCAAATAATAGATCTCATTTCAGCCACTGATTCTCTTTGGATTTATATAATTTTAACAAACTGGATTTGCTATTTATTAATAGTTATTAATAATTATTTATCTCATAAAGATTCTCTTTCAAAAATTAGAGGTATATTTGGATTCTTGGTGGAATACTTACATATACTTTAAATCATCCATTGTTATATATTTTTACATTTAAATGTAAGAGTGACAATAATTTATATTTAAAACTGAGTGACAGTAAATCATGTACATTTAAGGAAATAAAAACTAAAAATTCCACAAATACAACTAAAATTTACATTTATCAAATGTATTGAAATAAATGTCATATTACATTTCCTGTCATTGCAGTCCATTGTTAAAATGTACTTTACTTTGTCTTCTTCTGGCAGAATTCATTTATTTACCCGAGGATACATAATCAGCTCTCATAGATATCTGAAATGTAAAAAAAAAACCTTATAGAAAATCTCATTTTGCAGACACTCTGGGTATCATTTTTCTTGAAATAAAGTACCTTATCTATTCAGTAGTCCCCCATAACTTCTAATACAACAAAGATATATTAAAAATATAAATATAACTTTGACTATGTAAATGGTTAAATGGATACATTTATGAATATAGAAGAGATTTTTCTAGGGTTAGCCATAATTTTGAGGTGAATTACATGGTCCCTTTGTCTCTTTTATGAATTAATTTCTCATTTATTTGTCAATTTTTTTCAAGATAATCCTATTTACCCACTGTTTTAAATGCTAGACATATGCATATTTTTTTTTCATGAAGATCTGAAAATCACTTCATGAGGGTAGAATCTCTAAAAAAATCGAAAAATCTTTTCATGAAGAATTTTTTTGACATCAGGGAACTAGGCAAATAAACAAGAATCTTAAAATATGATAATTTTGGAGTAGAGGAAGTTCATGTTGCTGTCTTTGATATTCAAGAAAATTGCATGATTGGGGGCATAGAGTCTAAATTTGAATGACAATTATTTCTAACATTAAATGTTGATTTCAGGATTACAAGAAACAGGCAAAGGAGATGGAAAAAGAATAAAAGTAAAAGATATAAGATGGAAATTGGGGCCATTATGCTACTGTTCTTGCAATCTCTGTCAAAGGCACAATCTTTTCTTATTCTCCACCATCTAAGTTGGAGTGACAGAGGCACACATATCATGCAAATATTTTTATAATTTTTACAAAAAATTGCAATAGAGATAAGGGAAAAGAGTTTATGTAGACAAAATTCAATATATTGAGTTCTTCTAGGAAAGGAAAAAAAGAGGGGGAAGACTAAAAAGTACTTATTTGATTTAGTAAAAAGGAATCTTTGGACATTTTTGTGACCTCTTTCAATGAAGTGTTGTATTTGGGACTATTACCCTGTTATCTGATATTCATGAGAATATTTATTTATGTCCCTAGCCTTATTCTTGTCAAAGACTAATGGTTTTTTAGTGAATGATAAAAGAAAACTTGAATTTGTTCAGCTGCAGAGTTTTATTGCCACAACCCTAATGCAAAGTTGAGATCCCTACATGTTGTATGGCAGATATGACAAAATTGCCAGCCTGATTTAGGGAGCCATCCAAAAGGTGTTGAGACTGCTAGAGAAGAATGTTGTTCTGAGTAAAAGTGGTTCTGAGTAGGACAGTAGACCTTGATAGCATATCTAAGGATTCAAGTAAAACAAACTCAGATCAGTATTTTACAGGTGTTTTGCAAGAATTTCCATTTTACTGATGTTACGGCATCCATGGGGTAAAGAAAAACACTACTTATGGCATTGATAATTATATTATCTGGTGATTAATCACCTACAGTCAAGCTGTAACAGCTTCTTATTTCCTATATCTTGTTTTCCTATCTCTTTTTAATTGCTTATAAGTTCATATTATTTTTTATTCTTAATATTATTCCTATCTTTATTTCTTTTTATCTATATTTAGCATAGAACATATAAAGAGGGGAATTTAGGCAAATTATTCATACATGTACTTCAAGATCATTTCCAGGAAAAAAAGCCATTTTTAATTTTTTTAGAGGAAAAGCACCTATTAAGATATAATTCATATGCCATGTCCAATAAAATTTTTCCACTTAAAGTATATAATTCTACATCTTTCAATATATTTATAGATTTTACAACTATCATCAATATCATTTTTAGACATAAATACTTGAAACTTCCTACGAAGGAACTCTAACCCTACACTGGGATCTGTGGAGATAGGGAGCCTTGGTTTGTTGAATAAAATCTTTGAAGAATAGAGTTTTCATCTTGCTGACTTGAGGAAATGACAGGAATTGAATTATGGTCAAAAATTCCCTCCCTGCTTTTGTTCTTTCTGAGAGTTAGTAAATTAAAAAAAAAAATGGACAGCCTTTATTTTATTTATTTTATTTTTATGTAGTACTGAGACTTGAACCTAGTGTCTCCCATGTGCTAGGCAAACTTCCCATCACTGAGCTACATCCACAGGTCTTAGTAAATTTTCTGTAATGATTGTTTTCCCCATTTGCTCTATGCCTTTGCCTAGATGAGGGATGAAGCCAGATCGCATTAGTTTAAAGTTTAAATTTATCATCAGCAAAAATAGCATATTTCACTGCATAATCCTTGTCATTGCATAATCATCATAGCCTATTTTTTTTCAACTCCAAAACTGGTTTATGACTTTTCATCACACAATTGTTTCATGAAATATTATCTTGGAAATCTTTCTTAAAAGGTAAACAGAGCAGCAATATATTCCTCAGTTGCATATAGATGCAGGTTTGTCTTCTTGTACACTATGAGCCAGAGCCTAGGGTTCCCAGAGCACTCATTCTATCACCCTCATACTTCAGAAAGCCAGCTTGCCTGGTTGCCTTAGATTGCCGCAATGTTAGGGGTGTTGTCACTAGACCCAGTGAAGAACTCTAGGCACAAAGGAGTAGGCCAGAGAAGTAACTATTAGCAAGACACATGATATAGGAGATTCTGGATAGCTAAACTGTGCCACTCATTGGCCAGCAAGACATTAATATACAAAGCTTTTCTTTCTTATTATATGTAAATATGAAAACTGTTCCATAAACTTCAAACTCAATGTTATTATGTTCACTGAATAAAATGGAAACAAAGCTGCAGAAAGAGTTTTCAATAAGTGAAAGTCTTTGTTTGTTTTACTTTGTTTTAAGTTTCATATAATGGTCACATTCCACGTGTTTATTGTCCAAAAATTTTGCCAAAAATCTGCAGCAATTATATGGTAAAATATAGTATAACATTGTCTCAGTTTGGCTATGAAGGGACAGTGAAGGAAAGAATCCATAATTGTAAAAGCATAAAGAGTTTATAATGGTTTCTGCTTAATTTTGTTTTGCATAGAGTTAAGCAAGTGCAATTGTAAGAAGCAAAATTATATATTTGGTGTCAAAAACCTGAAGTGGTAAGCTAACAACTTCAATTTTCTATGGAATTTTGTGAAACATGATCATCTGTTGAGAGTTAGAGAAGAGAAAAATCAGGGTTTATAGGTGGAAAGTAGCCAGGTTTAAAATACTTGTTGTGTCTGCCTCCCAACTAGCACGCTAGCTTCTTACTAGAGGTTCAAAACATAGAAGTTAACTAGTGAGATCAGATTAAAGATACATAAAACTCAATTTACCTTTCTTTCTTGCCTAGCTAAGAGAGGGCTTCTCCCGGCTCCTGCCTTGAGCCACCTGGAGGTAGTGAGTTTTACACAAGAGGCCAGCAGGAGAGAGGAAGAAGCACGCCAGAGAGTGGGCTTTTATTGGGAAATAAAAAATTCAGGGGAAAATTCCATCCAATGAAGGTCGAGGGAGACAGCAATCCAAAGTCAGGGTCAGTGATTGGTTTCCAGGTCAATGGTCAGCCACACCCCCACAGGGACAAGCCCTTGCACCTGGAAAGGGTGGGGAAAGCTCTGACACAGCTGGTCTGAGCACCTCACACCCAGTCAGGGAGGTATCTCAGTCACGTTCGAGAACGGCTTCCCACAGTTGTGGTCATGGGCCAGAACTTATCAGGAAAATGCATTCAGACTTGTACATAGTTTTGGAGAAATAGTTAAGGTGAAGGGAACAGATTCAGAGTGGCATTGATTTAAATATTTTATCTGTAAGCCCATCTGAATTGTTTGGCAATTCCTGAAAACATTTTAAATATTTCAGTAGGATCTAATCTCACTTTAATAAACTGAAATGATTTATTTCTCCTCTAATACTGAAATGACATAATTTTGCATCATGGTTTGTTTTACCTTGCTGCACACATACTAGATCGTTTCTATATAAATTCCCTCATGAATTTACGAAGTATAGATAATGTGGGGGATTAAAAATAGGTTGTGCTTAAGGCAACTTCCCTACCCTGGCAAACCACTGCCCTAAAAAACATTAGTACCATTTCTTAAGGACCCAGGGGTAGTCTCTGTCAACATTGATCCATTGATAAATTTTCAATATAAAATCATGTGGGTGAATTCATGGATATTTTTCCTGCTATCTATAGAATTATGAAGAGCTATTAAAGAAGAAAATATGTTTACTGTCTTTCTTTCATTCTACTAAAAATCTGATTATTCACCACAGCTATTCGTGTGATGATAACTGACAGGTACAGAGAGCAGCCTCACACTTGACAATTGACACATTTCACTTTTTCCTGGTGGCATTAGGGACATGATATTTCCCAACTTTTCCGCTAATTAGGAATGAATGGACCTCCTGAATCCCTGTGATTCAATTCAGTTTGGATACGGTTTGTCTGACTGTCAAATTGATTCATAGAATGAGAAGAATCAGAGTTATCTAACTTTTCACACCTTACTGAATTAACACTTCTCTTTTATATAATGATCCCAGCCTGTTTTCTTTATTCTCATTAGCACTCAGTTTAGATTGTTATATTCTAACTTCTGACACTTTCTTCAAATGCTACCTTAAGTTTCAAGATATATTTTTTGGATAAAAAATGTGGTGTAGTTTGGAAATAGCCTGAAACAAGATTGACCTAAGTCTCAAGAATTTGAAAATAAGCCTTTTCTGAAGCATAAATAAACACCTAATGATGCATAAGATCAGTCAAATGCAATCTCTTCATCATGTAGCATAATTATTTCTGGGAGGGAGGAGGCTTTGACTTATTAACCCATCTAAATAAAAGTGCCATAATTAAAAAGGAATTTGGCTTGAGAAGCAGGGGATAAAGGAATGATCTGTGAAGATGTACAAGTATGAGATGTGGAAATTAGTGAATACATCTTGGAATTCTGCTATTATCCATAATGCCTATTAACATTTGTGTATGGCTTACTGGGTTCCAGGGCCTATTTTAAGGGCTTTATGTAATTTACTTTATGTGACACTTTCACATGCATATAAGGTAAGCGATTTTCTTTTTAATATTACTAGGTAGATAGA